GAGGTAGAGAGGGTCAATTGGGGGGGGGGGAATGGGACACCTGTAATACTTTCAACAATAAAGATAAATTATAAATAAAAAAATAAAAATACATTAAAAAGAACCAATGGTCTAAATAATTTCCCAGATCTTCTGCAATTCTGAAAGTCTACTTTTTATATACAGTCAATGGAATTTTAATAGCTCCTAGCTTTCATCATTATTCTCTTCTTGTTAATGAAAAAAATGTAGTTTAGGAAACAGAAACCAACTCTAAATGATAAATAATAGCTTACAGTTACTGAGTGCTTATGAGTTCTAAGATATCAACTTATTTAACAAACATAGCTCAATCCTCACAACAACATTTTGAGGTAGGTACAGTATTATCATCTGTATATTACATATGAGAAAACTGAGGCTCAGAAAGTAATTTGCCCAAAGTTATAGAGCAGGTTAATAGGAAAACTGAGATGTAGAGCCTAAACCCTTAACCAGTATGCTACACTGTCAAACAGTATCCACCACTGTTCCCATCCAAATAGCACTGCTTTCCCTGCTACTTTGGGAAGGGAGGGGGAAGATGTTTTTAGAAAATCTGTGTGGTCAGAAATGATGGAAGGCAGAAATTGGGAAAGACAAGAATGAAAGGGCGCTGGAGCCTAAGGCCCCTGGCCCTGAGTTACAACTAGACCATTTAGATTCACAAAAGCCTCTCTAAAAGGGTAAAATATCCGTAGGAGTGATTTTCCTTCAATTATCATTTCATTCCATTATGTCTGAGACATGTTCTTATTGACTGATCAAATATTAATTTAAAAAACATTAGAAATTTACCTTCTTGGATCAACTAGACCCAAAACTATAAAGTAAAACAGATTAAATAAGCACAAAAGCAAAGTTAGAGTCAGAGAGAAGGTAATGAGAATTGAAACGATTAAGCCTATGACTACTTTTCAGTATACAAAGGGGAACTTATAATACTCTGCCTTAGCATATGGAATGTGAAGTTCAGATGGTAGGGACTAATACAGGATCATATTTTCTATGCTATGCGTTTAAAATCTTTAAGATTGAAAAAATCAATTTTATTGAGAAAGTAAGGAAATATAAGTGTTGATCTGTATCTACACATCTGAGAAAAGTCTTTCCTGGTCCCTGGAATGAGAATGCAAAATGAGGCTCAAAGCTCAGAAGAGTTCACTGTCAATAACAAAGATTATTAATGAGTTTTCCTGGAATGTGATTTAAGCTGTGGAAAGTACAGTAGGGCCTTTGGAGCCAAGGAAAACTACCCTGAGATATGCTGCTGTATACAGACACCTTGTTTTTGAGGCTTTGTACCTTGAGTAAGTTGGGAACTTAATCTGACATTACTCTATGTGTGTTTGCTCTCTTCCTTTCTAGCCATAATCCACTGGAAATGCTCCAATATCAATTCTGGATAGGATATTTAAATGAGGGTCCTGGAGAGCTTAAGTATCAGATCTAATATTGCTCTATTCTGAAAGCTTCTTTTATTTTTTGTTCCTCAAACATCATCTTTAATTTATAGGCTCACTGGTCTCTCCCCTAAAACTATTACTGATAATTTATGGAAGTAGGAGAGTTGAGAATTGTTTTTAATAATTTTGCTTCTCCTTGTAACTGAGATTAATTGGTTAAAAAGATGAGAACAGATTGAAATTCAGCTCTCACCACAATGATTAATTTGTCTTCCCTTTAGTTTAAAAAAGAGAGAAAACCTCATTCTTTTAGACAAAAAATATTTTATTAACCATTCAAGCAATACATATTTATGTACCATCTTATACCCAGGCAGGTACCATGAATAAATCGGGGAAACTTGCAATGAAGTCTTTTGAGAGTGGGTTGAGTTGATAGCAATTGCCTCCAGAGTTTGCTGTACTTACTTACGGCTTCCAATCCCTTCTGGAAGAGAATGAGTTTGTTTCCATGAAGGGCTGGGTAAAAATTTGGATTAGATCAGGGTTTTTCAACTTTGACACTGTTGACACCTTGGACCAGATAATTCTTTCTGTTGTGAGGGCTGTTTAGCTACATCCCTGGACTCTTCTTACCCATGACATACTAGTAGCACTTCCTCAAATGTGATAATCAAAAATATCTCAGATATTTCACCAAATGTCTCCTGAGGCTAAAATTGCCCTGGATGAGGACCACTGAACTAAATGCATCAGACATTCAACCCTACAGTAGTTAAGAAAACTGAGTTCCATGAAGATAAAGGAAAGGAATGAAACAAAGAATTTACCTTGAATTTCACTAAATTTACTAGAAAACAAATAAAAGCAGTCAAATAATTGAATAAGGAAGAAAATCTTGTCAAATTATTATGCCCTTCTGCCCACTGCTTAGAATAGAGATGAATGGAAAGACACTGACAAGACAGACTCTTTCCTACAACAGAAAGACTAGTATATAGGTGCTACTCAGAAGATTCTCTACAGTAGAGGGGTAAAAGTAATAGATCTGAAGTTAGAAGGCACATGTTTTCACTAAATAGCTTCATTTCTTTGGACCTCAGCTTTCTGATCTGTAAAATGGATGTGTGGTGGGAAGGCAGTAGAGAGGGTTGTAAATAGATCTTTTAAATTTTTAATTCAATAAATGTTGAAGACATATTCTAGGCACTATACTTGGAACTAGTATATAAAAGATGAAGAGACATGGTCCCTTCCTTCAAGGAAAGCAGTAACTCCTCTTTGAGGGCACTTCTGTCACAGTGGCATGCAGTGCCCAGGAGGCCAGGGGTATTAAATATCCTGCACAATGAATTGTTTCATTCAAAATACCAGAAGCCCCTTTAAGAAACACAGAACTCAGGGTCAACTTCATGGGCATGCCAACTGTGCAGTCATACAGGGCCCAGTGATTGGTTTAATGCTCTGCAAGTCACCATTCTGAAAATCTTAATACCTTTGTTTTAACGTCTGTTTGACAAATGAGGTCTAGTGGTATAATGGGTCATACATGCAAAAAGAGGAGGCGATTATTGTGTCCTTTCTTCCTTGCCATCCTGTTTGCATATAGTCTTCACAATGCCTCATAAGCACAAGATTCTGGTGGACCTATGACATATAAGAACTCTGGGAGTCACAAAGTGAGTGAAAGCTCCAAGAGGGCTATGCTTTCCATTTGAACCAGAACTTGCTTCAGGTGTAGAAAGAAGGCAACAGCATCCTAAGAAATACAAGTGACCAAAAAACCCTATCATATCCTTTCTTGTGTGTGTTACTTCCCTGAATTACCTTTTATACTGAAAATGACACAGAAGGAAGGGGAATGGTAGGGCAATCCATAGTTCCTTTTCCTTTCAGTCCTTCCTTACTCAGGTTGGTAGGATGTGTGCCTATCAAGAAGGAAAATAAAAAGTCAAGTTGGTTTTGTGCAGCACTTACACTGTTCTGATAAGCACGAAATACATATCCATGCATAAGCTATGAAATATGAATTGTAATTCTGGGGATTCCATGTATTAGTTAAATGTTCTTATATTTGCATTTATAAATGGCATTGCACAATATAAAAATAAATGGTAAAATTCATTCTAATAATTTAAAATTTGAATTTTTCTTTACTTAGAATGGCATTAAAAAACAAATAGGAAAATCATGACAAGTTGATGGAGAGATGACAAAGACAGAAAAGGCTTTATATTTTAGTACATATGGCTCTTTTCCCCTGCTTTTTGAACAAAGGATCCCATATTTTTTATTTTGCTCTCAATCCCCAAAATTATGTAGCTTGCCATGACTGAGCTAGTTGAAGCAGAAAGGAATTAAAGGATAGTATTTAGCTCACAGATCTCCAAGGGGACCAAAGAACCATGCCTGGATAATACATAGCCAGAAACAACATCCACGAAAAACCAAACTAGGAAGAACACTCATCTCGTATCACAGGGCTATTTTAGCAGAAACCCATTCCAGCACCACCTGCCAGTCAGCACCTATAATTCTAAAAATGGATGTCAGAACTCCTCCCTGGCTACCCAGAAGAATCAGAAACCTCCACCATGGTGTTGCCAGAAAATCCCATCTCCCTGAATGCAGCTGAGGCATCTCATTGCTCACTTTCACAACCACATCTTGAATGTGTGCATCTGCTTGCTGGAAACTAGATCACATGTAGTGATATGCTGAAACCAAGTCACTATCATTAGCATCTTCTCCAACTAACTCCATATACAGTGAAGTGACTTTGGAAGCATAGGGGTATTTATACCATGAAAACTGGCCAATGCTACAAATCAGGGTCTTTCCCCTCCTCCAGCCATTGTTAAATATTCACTAGCATATCACTCATCTCGTATTAGCACTCTTGCTGCAAGGGAGTCTGGCAACTGCAGTTTTTATTTTCTAAGTTTCTAAAGTACAAAAAAGCAAACTAAAAGGGTTGGATGAGTATTGAGTAAGCCATCCTATAGTATCTGCCGAAAAATTATGGTAGCCATTGCCTTTTGTTCTAGGTTATAAATTGCTACCAGGTAGATGCTAACAGACATCGAACAGTACTGGTACAGAAGGCTGGGCAGGCTTTTACTACAGGCATGCATGACATGATGAGCATAGGTCAGTGAACTAAGAGATAATAAAATGTCAATTGATATGACTAAAATACGTTTCTAAGGTGCTAGACTATAACCTCTGTAAGGGCAGGGACCATGTCTGTTTTGTTTCTCACTATATCTCAAATCACCTGGCAAATAGAAGCCACTCAATAACAACTAAAAAGGAGATGCTTTAAGGATATTAAGTAAAGAATTCAATCTTGGCATTTCTCATATTGTATTAGATAATTTCAAATGATTTTACTGTGTTTAGATGAGTTAAACTTTGAATGTCAACAGTTTATTATGATACTTTCACATACATTATCTCATTTGAACCTTATAACATCTCTGAGAAACTAAAACTGGAATTAGTATCCCTTCATAGATGAGGAAACAAACTCCAAAAAAAGTGATCTGGCCACACTCATTTTTCATTCTCTGACTTAAAATTCCAGAGCTCTTCCATACCTCAAGAGAATATATTTATAAAACACATTTTATAGTGATCAACTAGGAGAGTATTGTCAGGTTTTCAGTTGAACATCCACTTAAACTCAAATACATGCAATGAGCAAACTATTCTAATTTTGTGCTGCAAATGTTTTTCTTCAAGAGTGAAGGATTGGAATTGTGGTTGCCTTTTCTTAAAGTAACTGATGTTGACTCAAGAAGTAGGAGGAAAGAAATGCTTTTCTAGAAACAGCTAATCTGTGAATTTGATACTTTTACCTTTTTCTAGTTAGAAATAGTATAATTTAAATATTATGGATATAGCTCTGGCCAGTGTGCTTCGTGGTTAGAGCATTGGGCTGAGCACAGGACAGTCTAGGGTTCGATTCCCGGTTAAGGGTTTGATCCCCTGACAGGAGGCAACCAATCAATGTGTCTCTCTCACATGTGTTTCTCTCTCTCTCTCCCCCCACCTCCTTCCTCTCTCACTAAAAAACAACAGAAAAAATACCCTCCAGTGAGGATTGACAACAAAATAAAAATTAATATTATGGATGTAGAGGGATTCTCAATTTTATCTTATTTAAGAATCATGAATGTGGGGGTTGGGGTTGCTAACAATACAGATTTTTAAACCCCATCCCAAAAAATGTGATTTAGTAAGGGCCAGAATATTCAACTTTAAAGAACACTCTAGTGCCAGAGAATGCTATGAGAATCACTGGTGTTGTACTTCTGACATGCAGCTTGTACAAAATACTCATTTTGCCAGAAAATGCATTTTAATATAGTAGTCCTATTTTTAAATCACTTTCACAGCCTTCTAAAACTTAAATCAATTTAAGAGATTTTGTCTCTTAAAAATATTATTAGGCAATTTCCTGTATATTAGCAGAAATCTTGCCACCTATGTTTATAATCATTCTCTGAGGTCGAAAACTGCAGGCTAATTTACTGGTGTAATCAGTCTCAAATCCCTTGGAACGTATATTCTTATTAGCATTATATGTCATGGAATTTACAAACAGCTTCTACCAGTGATCTGTCCCTTTGGGCCTTTTGATTTTTCTATTTGAAGAAGAACCACAATGGTTTCCAATAAGGCTCTCTCACACCACTTCAAATAGCAATCTACTCACCATTAAAAGACACCTGTAAAACAAGTGTGAAAGAACGAGCTCTAATTTGGGTAGACTGAAAATGACTGTCAAAAGTCCGAATTCAGTGGCATATTCGAATTTGAAACCACGGTTTCTGCCTCCTACTGTTTTCATCTTCTCCGTGGGAACAAACCCTTACAGGTTTTTAAGTGAACCTCTCTTTCACAGATGAGGAAACTGAGGCCCTAAGACACTAAATTATTTGTTCAAGGTCACGCCCAATATTAGTGACCATGTCAGACAAAAACAACCCATCAGTTCCAATATAATGGCGAACCCAGCAGCATGTTACTATCTCCCCCCCCCCAATTTTACATCTGCAGCCCTTCCCCCACCTTCCTACTCCCGTCCTTTGAATAAAGTTGTTTTGTTTAACGGTCCTTCCCCGCCCCCTTTTGCTTTTATGCCTTCGGATAGTAAATCTAGCACAACCAGTTAATGAATAACACGGGGAGTCGTCCACATCTAACACGGTGACTTCCATTCGCCTTTTTCTCTGGCCAAAAATTTCTCGCAAAGGCTATTAGCCCTGCATTCCTCCGGCGGAGGGAGAGGAAGTCACCAGCAGCTGACAAGTCCTTACATGCCCACCGCGCGCGCGCCGGGGACGCAGCCCGCTGACACGGGGTGCAAATCAAGGAAGGCTATGCTAGGGCGGGAGGGAGAGGGGCGGGAGGAAAACACCCTGGAGGGCATTCCCTTGCACTGGCTCTGCCAACTCGGAGCAAAGCTGAGGGTGAATAAATCTCATTAAGAGGCCGGGCACACACACTGCAGAACCGCGAACAAGGCAGCGTGACGGAGCGCGCCGCACGTCCGGGAAGCGGCGCC